TCTGGCTCCAAGCCCACTGGGGACACTGGGAGATGGCGGCCATCTGAACTGGAGGGGGGGATGGGCATTTGAGGGGAAATAGGGCAGGGGACGGGGGTGTGAGGAGGGAGGGGCCATGGTGGGGGCAGGGTGTGCGGGGAGCAGGATCGAGGGGGATTCGAAGGGGGATAGGCCAGGGCGGGGGCAGGATGGGAGATTGGGGGGGCAGGCAGAGTTTGAGAGGTGTTAGCTGTGGGCGAATCTGTTGCTCGTCCCCCTCCTGCTCCGTGGGACCAAGAACTGAGTCTTCCAGGTGGTTGAGGGGCAGCTGGTGAGCAGGGGGGTGGCGGAGTTAAGGCCCAATGGGACCATCCAGCCGGGCTCCTGCAGCACCTTTAACGCTGCCCCCGGCGTTACCCAGCGCTGGGTGAGAACAGACGGGCGACGGCGCAGCCATCACACCTGGGTCCTGTCTCCCAGCCCCCTGCTCTAACCACTAGACCCCACTCCCCTCCTGGAGCTGGGAATGGAGCCCCCCTGGCCCCCAGCTTTCTGCTGCCCTCTAGCCAATGGCATATAAACAAAGCCTATGTCACCTCCCTCTCTGGGGGCCTGGCCACATAACCACTGACAGTGTCTCCTCCAGCTCAGGGGCAGGGTCTCTGTGGGGGCATTAGAAGGTCCCTGGGTCTCTCCCAGCTGGTGACCCGTTGGGGGCCCGGGATGGAATTTCTCTTCACGTTTTCTTTTGAACCTGGTTTATTTAATTCACACACTGAGAAAAGCCCCTTAGAACCAGGCGTTACAGTGTAAAGCCGCCATCACCGCTCAGCTATGGTGCAAGGGGCAGCAAACCCAGGTGTTCCCCCATCGCGCCGCTCCTCACACAGTGCCACGGCTTGTGTCGCAGGTGGGCAAGTTTGCAGGTTGAGAGGGAAGGCTGCAGAGTCAAATCCTCCAGCAACAGGAAATACCCCGGTTACGGCATTCTGAACGACCTTAACTCTGCCCCCTCATGCAAGTCCATTACAACGCCAGCCTTTAATTGCATAATCACTTATTAAAGTTACCGACATGGGTCATAAGCCGAGCTTGAACCCAGAATGAAAAGGGGATGGATTTTTCATGGAAATCGTGGTCAGTGGAAGATTGAAGACCAGACCCTGTGGTCACCTGCTCTCAGCCTGATGCACCTTCCTCAAGGCTGCAGGGTACGTTGAGGTGGCCTGTCCCCGCTCTCTAGAGAAACACAGACAAGCTGTGAGCTGCATGATGCTTGGCCAGGCTGACGATCACTGGGTTTCTTTCGTTTTGCAAAGCCCTCTGCTTACTTTGACCGCACTAGATTTCACCCGCAGATTTGAGAGAATGTCTGATGGACACAGGAAGAGACGAGACATTGTCGACTTCCTGTAGAGGCAGCTAGCAGTTGAGTTCCTTATTTGCGGCTCGGTGGAGCTGGAGACCGGGGTGTTGGTGGCAGCAGTGAGGGGTCCCTCCCTGACCCCGTCATGGCGTCTGCTCTCACCATCCTCTTCCTCGGTGAGTATCGGAGACAGCCAGGGCGTGTGTCCATGGGGGGATCTGAGACCAGGGTGTAGGATCCAGTTGCTCTGAGATCTGGTCCTTAACGGCCCTTCTCCTTTCCAGGCTGCTGGCTGGCCGGGCGGAGTGGGGTGTCGGGAGGTGAGTATCTGTGGGGAATGGGGCAGCTGGGGGAATTTCCACATTAAGGATGAGGGACGTGGGTAGGCAGTGAGGGGTGCCAGTCCGCCAAAGGGATGATCCTGTCAGATCTCTGCTCCCTCCCACACCCAGAGGTGGGGACTGAGACCTCGCCCCACTCATTACAGGGATGGGCACCACACAGGGTGAATTCACCTGCACTCAAAGCTCTGCCCCCCAGGAAATACAGAGTGAAGGCACCAGCCACCCCACACCGCCCCCGCACTGTGCCCGGGGAGCTGGCAGGATCCCGGGGAATGGGTCAGGTAGAGCCGGGCTGTAAGACGTTGACATGCAGAGGGACTGGAGCAAAGCACCGTTGTGTCTCACCCCCTCGGCTTGCTGCACACGCGCGTGCCACTGCTTTGCTCGTGGGTCCGGCTCAGCCCGGCCCGGCGTTCGGAACCTCCCCTGAACAGCTTTGGGAATATCCCGTCCCCAGAGGGGCCGCTGGCACCGTGCAGAGCGGAGCTAAATCCCCAGCGACTGGGAGCGGTTTGGGGTGTTGGAGCAGAGCCAGAGTTTGAGCCCCAGGGGTGGGCAGGAGACTGTCAGAACAACCGGGGGATTTTGCAAACGTGGTTTTCGGAGGCCTTCGCTCAAAGGACTCAGATTTGTCCCATGAACCCCACCCCGCACTCCTGTGCCTACAGCACATCGCCGGACAATTGGAGTAAATGTGGTTTTTAGAATATTTTAAAGAATAATCCACGTTCAGCCCAACTACAGCAGAGCTGCAGCTCTACTACAGTGTTAGAAAAACAGGAGGAGGGTGATTCTGATCTCCCCGGGGTCAATCTGGAGTCACCCCTGACTGCAGCGGGGGCAGGGCTGAATTGACCCTGGAGAACTGAAGGTATCTGAGACTGGAAATCTCCTTTCCCCCTGCTGTGTCTCTCCCTGGCTGTGAGCCGAGGGCTGGGCCTGCACCCCAGGGACGGGCGGGGGGTAAAACGCTGGAGCGACAGATGGGCAGAGGATTGAGTCAGACGGATGCGGTTTGTGTCACCCCCACTTACTGCCTGTTTGTTTGTGAATCCAGAGGGGTTCTACCCCAAACCCTCCATCTCCGTCAGCCCCGGTGGGGTGATCCCTGTGGGGGGAAATGTCACCATCCGGTGTCGGAATCAGCTCCTGGACATGAGGTTCCTCCTCTACAAGGATGAAGATGGGAACTATCTGAATTACACAGACCCTGCTGGCTCTGAGGCTGAATTTCCCATCACCAGCGCCAGACGGGAACACGGTGGCAACTACACCTGTCGCTATAGCAACAGAACAGGACCAGCTGCCTACTCGGAGCCCAGCGACCCTGTGCAGATCATTGTAGCAGGTGAGGGGCCCAGCCCAGCATCTCCTGCCCCACACCCAGCTAGATCCCTGGGGGGCTCGCACCGATGGGCCACTCAGAGCCAGGCTCTGCCCTGGGCCCAGCAGAGGGGACGTCCGACCGGGGAGCGGGGACGGAGTCACTGGGGGGGTCCCAGCCAGGGGGGAGCAGCCTTCTACCCTGCACATGGTCTGACGCTGCCCTGGTCACCGCGGTGTCGGGCGCCTGCCAGTCGAGCATTAAGCGACGTGGCCCCGTCTGTCACGGTCGGGTCATTCTCCCTCGTCCTCTCCCCGCGGGAGGTCTGTGCCCACCGCGGAGGGTCTGGTCTGGGGCGGTTTGGGGGGTCAATGGCTGCGCTGCCCTGGGTCAATAACGGAGCAGGCCGGCCGGGGGAGGGCACTGGCCTTGGAGCCGGAGGTGGGGAGGTTTGGGGGGCCCTTGGCTGCTGGGGGAGCTCGTTCTGCAGCCTGGGCCCGGCCCCAGAGGAAGTTCTGTCCCCTGCCCAGACGAGCCTGACCCTGATGGTGGTCGGGCTGGAGGCAGGGAGCCGTCACCCCAGGGTCACCCCAGAGCTGTGGGCTGTTGTTGGGTGTCTGCCCTGCAGCTGGGGGCTGGCGTGCGGCACCCGAGCTAGCTCTGATGGAGCTGAAAATAACAATGGAGCCGTGGCAGGGCAGGACTAGCCGCTCACGAGTGCCAGGCTCTGCCCTGACCCCTGGGCCCAGTAGAGGGGACGCCCAAACGGGGAGCGGGGATGGAGTCACTGGGGGGTTCCCCAGCCAGGGGGCAGCAGTATCCATTGGAGTTTCAGGGCCGATGGCTGGGTGCCCAGTTTCCTCCCTCCCCCATCCCAGCCGATGCTCATTTTCATCCCATTGAGGGAACCGACACAGCTGGGTCCCAGCAGACGGATATCACCCCCCGCCCCCCGACAGAGCCGGATGGAGAAGGTGAGTGGGAGAAATGGAACAATTCATCCCCCAGGAAACAGGGCTCCCCGCACAGACGCCCACGGGGCCATTCGGGCCGTTTAGAGGGGATGGTCCCTGCAGACAGAACTGATGGGTTCAATTCTTCTAGATAGAGGGTGATGGATAGATCCATGGGGACGGACGGCCATGGGTCAGTGGGAATGTGGGTCCTTGGGAACGTAGGGCAGTGGATAGATGGGAGCACGTCTGGTGACGGATACGAAGATGGAATAAGACTTTGTCTACATGAAAACGACCCAAAATGACAAATCCCCCGTGTGGTTCCCAAGCCCCACTGGTGATCTCAGAGCCAGTCTGGGCCGTCGGTATTGGCGCCCCCCTAGTTTGATACATCCCCGTTTGGCAGACAAGCTCCCCTGTAGCTCTATAGACACAGGGACGTTCCTCCTCCGAAATAGGGACAGCCGCGCCCAGACCTGCTCCGCAGTGACTCCAGGTGTGAATGGCACCTGGCTGGGGCAGGGACCGTCTCTGTGTCGTGTGTCTGTACAGCTCCGAGCACACGGGGCGGCTGGCCCCGGTAATTAATACTAGTCAGTAATGATTTTGGTTCTGGTAACCGTGGAGCCAGGCAGGGGCTGTATCTGCGCTCAGGGTCTCGCTGTGCCGGGGAAGAGCCGCCATTGCCGGTTGGGGGGAGGGTAGGTTCCCTGTGTAACTAACCACAGACACCAGGGCTCCAGTTTTCTCACCCCTGCGCCCCACCCCTGACAGACGCTGGTTCTATTCCCACGGGGGGAACCGACCCGACTCAGCCGGGAACGACACCAGCTTCCACCCACCCAAGCAGCCCGGGACCAGATACCAGTACGGGGGGCAGGAACTCGCCATCAACGACCCCAGACACAGGTTTGTGCCACCCCCCGGGGGAGCCACGAAGGGCTGGCTGGGTGGGCACGCGGGCACCGA